GATCCACCAAGAAATACTAAAATACAAACTAACTGCTAACAGAAATGAATTAATATACTTGCCTTCATGTCTACATTCACTATCTAAAAATAAATAAATAAATAAATAAAATATAAAATACTGGTAGATGATGTGTTATGCCATACTTGTAAATTTCAGTTTCTCTTTGATTGGTTTAATGTATCGCTTCTCCATGCTACCATCATCAGACCTGGTCAAGCAAATATATACAATGATTTTAATCTTTAAGTAAGTGATTGGGTTTTCAATACTAACCTGCTTAGACGACAGGAGCTGTGGTGGTAAGCAACTTCACTAGCAAATACACAAAACTGATGGAAAGAGAGAACTGAGAGAGACAGACAGAGAGAGAGAGAGAGAGAGTGAAAATAAATATAAGAAGACTTCTATAGTACTTAAATTAATGCCTAATGTGATCCAATTATTAGTACACTTAATTTCTCAAATAACATTACCATACTACGAACAAGTACATGTAATCTCATTATCATTACAGTACTACATGAATCATTTATCATTACTGTATTACTATTATAGTATTATAATTCTATTATTACTTGGTTTATTTTCCTCTTTCCTTCTCTTGCTTGGTCTCTCACCTTCCTCTCTTATACACGATGAACAAGTCAACAATAACTGTCTGACTACAAATAATATAATTATAGCACTTAATTAAATTAACTCATTGCTAATTAAAAATAATTATAGCTAATTATAACTAATTAAAATGACAGTTAAATGCTACCTTGATGGCCACTTATTTGTAGGCCGAGATCAGAAAAGGCTTGGACATATTTTTCGCTTTCCTCCTCCTCTCCCTCCTCCACCTCTTTTATGAAAGAGATTCGACTCGTTTCACTGCTTTCACTGGATAGGATCCACTTATCATATGCAGCAACTGCTTTCCTATTTTAAAATAATAAATTATTTGGCCATTTAATATCCAACTAACTTTGTGAATACACCAATCCCGGTAGCCATTTTTCCAAAAAAATAATGAAAAATATTTCTTATCCGGTTTATTAAGATTGTTTACGGTAGGACTCACCCACGTGCTACAACGTGGTATACCGCAAATCCATAATTTTTCTATTTATTGAAATTTTCAAAATGGCGTCCGAGGTTTCTCAGTTGATAGAGCTCCGTGACAAGCTTTCAGCTGGTGACGACATCCTGGAGACATTAGAAGGACTCAACACGTTGCTGGAGAGCTGTCCTTCTAACTCTGAAGTGCTTCAAATCTCAACAATAATCGGCCCACAGCTAATTTTTTATCATCTCTCTGGAGATCAAGAACC